CAAACACCCACACCCCATCCTACTACTCAATACCAATAGCTCCCATGCCCCATTCCACCATTCCAAAGCACCGCACACATAGCCAACAACCACCAACGACGCCACCCATTGCCACCACCATTAACGTCACCACCACTATAACACCAACAGTAACACCACCACCATCGCGGCAAGCACTGCATCCAAAACCACATATCCAAAATCATGGCAGATCCGAAACCACAAAAATCACTGCTATCGCCATCCACCACTAGTGCCACTGCCAGCATGACTCCTACAACTAATACCACCATACCGGATCGCGAGTTACGCACTATGTGACTTCGGAAGTAGCTTCGATTCTGGGAAATTCTTCCCTGAATTCGTCCTCGCCTTCGCAGTATGTCGCCAACCACAAGAGAGGAGGCATTGGCGAGAATAGTAGGCGGAGGAGGGAGTGGTGGACAGGTTTGTAAATGGAGGGGAGAGGGAGAGAGAGAGAGACGTGGGCAGGTTTGTAAATGGAGGTGAGAGTGTGTGTGTAAGGGATGAAGACGACTACGAGTGATTAAGGTTTTTTTCTCTATAATTATTTTATTTAAATAGTTAATACAAAAATATGATTTTTGAAGTATTAAAGTTCCAATCTGATTTAGGAATTTTGAACAGTTAACGTATGGTTTTGTGTAATTTTCACAAGATTTAAATACCCTCACTTTTAGTTAAATAAATAAAGAAAATAAGTGAAAAAGTAAAATAAAAAATACATATGACAAAAAGATAATACAACTCATTATATCAATCAATCTCTTATAAGAGTGTCTCTAATGCAAGTATAGATTGTTTTATTCAAAATATAATGTACTTAAGAAAGGACCTCTCTAATATAAACTGATCGAGACTTCATCAAGATAAAGAATAGATATGGAAAGATTTTTAATCTATGGCGTTGACATCTAATTAGGAGAGAGTTAAGAATTGATTTTCAATGCATTTTACGAATTATTATTCAGATGTATTTATTTTTTAAAATAATAACAAAATTAAATTTAAATTTACTGATGAAATATAATTTTTCCAAGGATGTCTAATCGAACCTCTCAATCTAGACAAAGTTTTATAAATATATTTTTTTTCTACGACATATCATCTTGACAGAGTCCTCATCAACTGCACTAGACATGACTTTTTTCTTAAACATAACATATGACATATTTTTTAAGCAATCTACGATTACATTAGAGAAGCTAATGTACATAATTGATTTATTAGTTTCCTGTATATTTTTTATATTTTTTTCTCTTATTATTTAACTAAGGTAAGGACATTTTAATCTTTATATCTGATGCTACCAAAGATCGTACCTGCAGATTTCCCGAGTTTGATGACTGATAAGGAGCACGAACGTGATCTTCCGATACCTGAAACAAAGGCAACGAGGTGTGTTCTCGTCGCCCCTCCGATACTTAAGTCAGAAAGGGGAAATATATGCGTGAGGCTATGTGCTGAAGAACAATGAGAAAACGTACCTAAATAATGGTTCAAGGTTCTGTATTTATAGTGGTAAGTGACATTCTCCTAATTGGACTCAACTAGCTGGATGTCATCATCTGTTGGAGTCCTGAATGGTTAAGGAGTTGGTTGAATTCCAGAATTATACGTGAGATAGGATTCTTCTGGGAGTTAAGATTCCTAATTGCGTAGGAATTCTAAAGGGTTAACAATCGTCAGTAGCGAGGGAGAGCACATTCTCGAGGACTATGCCCGAGGACATATGGTTGCAATATGCGAAGTAGCATGGAGTTGTGGTCGGGCACAGTGTCTCGAGGATGAACATGCTCGAGGACACCGCATATGAATTAACAACTTTATCAAAACTAGTCCTCGGGATAAACTGATCGGGATATTGGAAAAATGTCACCATCATAGGCCCCCGTGCATATATGCTCGAAAATATGCTCGAGGATATGATGCAAAGAGACTAGAAATAAAAGCTCGAGTTTTAGCTCGGGGATTTCTGAACACCTGTGCTTGATCAGAAGGCTGACGTGTACTGACGTCAGCCCTAGAAATGGAAAAGGCGGTAAAAATTGGTAGGGTTAGATGGAGGACCCGTGTCCAGATCTAACGGTCGGGGTAGTGACCTTTGGGCTTCCTGCTCCTGTTGCCTATAAATACCCTCCCCTCATTTCATTTTTCACTTTTTACTCTCAGTAAATTTCTCTCGCTAATCGTCGGGATCGGACTTTGAGTTTTTAGGCGTCGACTTTAAGGTAAGACCTCGAGTTTTTAAGTTATTCTTTAGG